TCAGCGCCTTCATTGCGGCCTTCAGCTCCTCTTCCTCCTCGGAGGGAGAGGGCCTTGTGCGAGTGTGCTCAGGGAGGTGCTAGGCACTTGCCTGGGGTGTGTTTTTCCTATGGCACTGAAAAACCGGTTCTAAGGTTGTCAGTTGAGCCAAGTGGAGGCAGGCAGGCCGCGCGCCCGGCAGCGCTTCCCAGCCCTCCACAGCACGGCTTACACCTGCACATGGCCACAACGACCTGCAGTGCCTTCAGCTATTTGCTTCAGAGAGAGCTTTGACATAGCTAGACAACATGCCACCCTTGCTAGTCTTTCCATAACACAGAGGAAATAATGCTGTTAGCCTTAGGAGCAAACAGAAATGTGTGCATACAAACACATATATGGGCAAACCCATTTCCTTCTTCAGTGCCTTCCAATCATCACACAAACAAGAAGCACTTTTGAAAGGGATGCCACAAGAAAACTCATGTGTGCACACATGCAGGTGTGGGTACACACAGGGGTATGTGGGCTCACAGGGTGGACACTTGCTTGCATAGGCCCCTAGAGTCAGGGAGTTTCATAGGGAATGCCAGCAATAGTTATGGAGGTCTGTGCAGGCTGAGGTGTATTTTCCTGGAAACTCTATTTGGAGTTACCCTATCTTAGACCAGTGTTCACTGGATCAGAGAAGGAGACTGCCTATGTGCCTCCTGCAAGTCTGATTCACTCCTGGGATGCTAGAGACTGAGCTACTTCTGGTATGAATTATTCAGGGCAGAAAAACACACGTATGTAGCATTACCATGATACAGTCAGTTTTCAGGTTGGAGATTCTTTTGTTCGAGTTCAGCTGAAACTAATAAATTCATCACCAAGGTTCAGTTTTAGTGAACTGACATCCTAAATAGGTCTCAAGATTAGATAATCAGAATTCTCAACTTATCTTGAAACTCCAGCTCCACTACTACTTTCAGCTACTGAAAACAGCACTGCTGTTTTTGTTTATGCAGAAAATGACCACCTCAGATTATACACTTGACTTCTGAAATTATTAACACTCTAAATATTCATGGTAACTTTAACCTGAAAGACTCAAAGTTTGTAAATCAAATGTGAATAAAAGGCTATTTACTCAGATTCTGCTTATTGTACATAAGTGGATTTTCTATTTCTTTCTCCTTCCACCATTTCTAACACTGTCAGGCTGCAAACACTTTACATGTGATACACCTAAGTTTTGTACGACAGATTTATCAACTGTGATGAGAGTGATAATAAACTCTGTGTGACAAGAACAACTAACCAATTTAGCCATATGGAGATTTGCTTCTACTCGCTTCCTGTATTTCGGCACTTACCTTAGGAGGAAGAGCTTTATTTTTGTATGGAGACTGAACATCTAACATAGGCTTACTGTTTGCAGTATTAATGCTCCTTCCCCACATGAAAGAGAAAGGCTGACTTCAGAGTTATTAGATTCACTTAACACAACTGACACCAAAGACACGATAGATATGCAGCCTCAAACATAACCACATTGTAGCATGAATCCCAAAACAAGGAGCATAGTTATATGTGTAGCCAAAAAGCACCATCTGTCAGTTTCATGTTTTACTGTTCTATCTACTATTTTACAGCATTATTATTTTGTAACTTATTCCTGTTCCCTCAGTCAGCTTTTTTCAGTACAGCTGTTCTCTGTACTCAACTTTTGCAAACACGAAATTCTCTGTACAACTCACCACAATAGTGACTCTTTCAAAAGCCATTAGCAGCTTGCAGAAAAGATTGACGCAGAAACTATATCAGAGTCTGAGACTAGTGAACAGCTTCCTTGCTTTTCTGCACAGGTCCCTCTCTCGGAGGAACAAAGACCAGGAATTCAGAGAATTTGTTAATATTGGAAAATAATAGTAAGAATAACAAATACATAAATAAGTAAATGCAGTAAGAAGAAAAAAATGAGACAAAAGCATGGCTAGAATTAGAGGATTAAGAAAAGCAAACAAACAAAAATATAGTTTTATAACAGGAGTTGAGACAAGAGGCTAATATCATAGCAGCAAATACTAGATTTTAGCATTGAATTTTAACCAGAAGTATAGAATTCTGGAGAATTCTGAATTAAGAGACTTCTATATTGTTGGCCTGTGCAACTCTAGCACCCTATAGCTAGTCTTCTTCCCCCCGCCCCCGTCCCTTATCGTTACAGCTAGACTAGCTGCTGCGGCCCACCTTGAGATCGCTCACTGGAACATATACAGAGAGGCCTAATCTCAACTGGGGCTGCTCTATACCAATGGAAATAAAGACCATATAAAGTACCAGCTGGACAAAACCACGAGGGTATCTGCAGGCTGCTCCCTAGGCTGTCTGGCAGGCAAGATTACTCTTGATAACTACGTTGATACAGTCTCTTGCTTGGCTCTCATGCTACAACATAAGAGACAGAGGAGGATGTTATAAACATGGTAGTAAGAATTAAGTGATCAACAGCAATTCCAGCCCCAAATCTGCCCTGCTGAAGTTCCTAGTTGTAGAATTACTATCACTTTTAAAATAAAATTCAAGAGCTTTGAGAACAAGACAGCATAAACAACAGTGTACCCATATTGCCAACAGGAAGAAGTGAATGTTTTCCAAATCTCCAACCTTTCTAGATATAAACAATCTCATCAAACTCCAAGGTCATACAATGAACAGATTCGAACAAAGAGGAATCTCTATGAATATCTAACTATGTCAAACACATACTCCTTACAAATAAATGCTCTGTAGGCACGCACATACTGCCTGCATTTTTCCTCTTCAGAAGTGTGGAGAGAAGAATGTAAAATCATAGAAGCATCATGTTTTTTCCTGTCATATAGAATCAGATGAGAAATTCAAGATGATGTACAGACAGACCCATTGTAACAGGTACTGACACTACACATAATTTCTGATCTGTTGCCATCCTTTCCTGTGAGGGTGACAGAGCCCTGGAACAGGCTGCCCAAAGAGGTTGTGGAGGCTCCTTCTCTGGAGACCTTCCAAACCCGCCTGGATGCCACCCCGTGCCACGTGCTCTGGGTGTCCCTGCTGGAGCAGGGGGTTGGACTAGATGATCTCTAGAGGTCCCTTCCAACCTCAACCATCCTGTGATCCTGGCTCATTCCAGGCCTTCACAGCAATTGTCATTGGGGCTACTGATTTAATAAGTGTGTGATGGCTCACACTCAGGAATAATCTATATTGCAAGTTAGACTCAGGCAAGTCAGAGAACATCTGGGAAGTAAGTGAAAGCAGAGTTTAAGATAATTCCATTTATTACCAATGCCACACACAGGTATTATATGCATACACATATATATACACACTGAGAAGAAAATGCAAGACAGAACATATCCACTTGCATAGTTTTCTCCATAAGAGCTGAACAAAACAAAACATACAATGCATAATAAAAAATAACAAAATTACTTAATACTGCACTGAAGGCCTTCTTCAAATAAAAATCACTAACCAATGCTGTATAACAGCTTACATAGAATAGAAAAAAATGCTTCTGTTTCAAGTTGCAGTAAATATTTTGCATGGAAAAGATTAAAATTTCACCAGGCATCTTCAGTAAATATGCAGAATCACTTTTCTAAAAGGTAAAAGCATTTTATATAAGTCTCAATACTATTTCTAAGAAACTTCATGATTTTCATTCTCAATACTCAAAAATCACTATGACACTTCTGTAGAGATAATAAAATAACTTCACAGGCCAAGACAGACTTATTTTATTTGTCCAGACATTTACAGCAGTTTTCCTTTTTTCTTGCTAAGTTACATACAAATAAAAACATAAATTCTAAAGAAATACAAAGACAATACTGAGATTCTACCTGTTTATTGAATAAGATGTTGTGTTAATATATGACAGTGAGAAACAGTCTAGCAACCCAAAAAAGAACCTCAGAGACAGTATACAGACAGATGGAGGCTAGCAACGGGATAGAGATTCACTTTCTAAACAGCAGTGACAACTTAAGCTATTGCTTTCCTAGCTGCTTTTATGTCACTCCAACCCAAAGTGTCCATCCCCCAGCTCCATCAGCAGAACAGCACATGTTGAACGCTCGCTGACCTGCTTTAGACAAAGTAGCTGAGCTGGCTTACACAGCAGTCTGAACTAGCCCAGCCCATTCGGTCTGAAGTAGGTTAGGGAGCGCTAACGTGAATGTAAATGGCAGCGCTGTGTGCACAGGGGCTTGTGGCAAATGAGTAGGAAGGAGGACCACCCAGCAAGTTTGGAAATGAAGAAGCACATTCTGAACTTAATTTCCTTAAAGACTAAGCAATTTAAAAAGCACTTTATATTTAATCAAGGGCTCATCATTGTTTGTATAACTTTAAGAAGTATACTCTCATCATAAATTATCTGCTTGATAAATACTATTTAATTATAATAAAATGTCTACCTTTAAGCAATCTAGTGTGGACAGGAAAACATCTTAACACGGTATTTTAAATATTTGCACTTCACAATTTTCCCCTTCCACACATGTACTCATAGTTAATTAAAAAAATCAAAAGCTTTTCAAAGAAAACCTTAAGCAATGTTAAAAAGTTGCTTCTTTTCAGCATCACGAATATTTACACGTCACTCATTATTATTGCACTGTAAGAATTTTTAGAGTGAATTTACTAACACTGAAAGGTGCCAACTTGACGGTTTCAACCTGAAGTTCTCAGTCTCTTTTGAAAGGCCAAGATCAAACAGTGCACACTGACACATTAGTGGAGGCCTCCTTTTCTCATTAACAGGTTTATTGCATTTTTTTAAATTGGTGAAATCAGTTTGTATCTCTCAAGACTGAACCTGTCAGGGTTGCTGCATCACTTCCTATTGAAATAACATCCAGAGATTACAGCAGAAACTTGCCTGCGCTCTGAATTCTTGCTTCTTTTTTGAAACTGCAACACCAACTTCTTTTTTGTTAGCTGTTTTTTTTCTTTTTTTCTTTTTTTCTTTTTTTTTTTTTGACTCAACTGATGAAACAAATGTTTGTAAGATCTGAAACTAAGAAACTCACCTTGCTTCTACTACAACACAGATGATGGCACTGTTTGGTTGGGTGCAAGCTGGAGCGAGCATGTGTGCCCAAGCGCGGCGGCGGGGCTGGCGGAGAAGCTGGCTCTGTGGCAAGGGCAGCGCGGCCGGGCACCCTGGCCAACAGCAGCAGCGCCTGCTCGCCCGGGGCAGCTCCACCTCCCTGCTCCGTGTAACCAACAGTGCAAGCAACCCACATCGTAGTTTCACGTTTTCAATACAAACGACCAAAAACTAAGTGCTAACAAATGTCCTTTCTCAGAAAGAACTTAGAAAATGGTGTTATTCTCAAAAAATACTACCTCAGTTGTGTTCTACCTCAAACATCATATTTTCATACAGTCATGCAATGACTTCTAAGAGGGAGGCATCCAACTCAAGCCCACCACTGATGCAGTCATTTAAAAACATTATGAAATTCTTCATAGAGAATACATTGCTACACAATCATTTAAAAAACATTTCAATTGTATGCTTGGAATTGCTTGACTTGGCCTTTTTGGATATGGACTGTGAAGTTGCAAGTCGGGACCTAAAAGGAAAAAAAGAAAAAGAAAGAGGAAAAAATATATAGCACACTTCACACACTGAATACCTTGATAGCTTTATTATTTTAAAATAAGAATTGTAATCAGTTTCCAGAAAACCCTTACCTTTTTGTTCCTTGTGATGGATTTGTACACGGTTGTCCTCTACTTAAACTTCCTGAAGAAAAATTGTGAACAAAATGAATTACTTTCATATTCATATTGCAAGTCTTAATTGCATTCTACTATTTTTATCAAATTAGCATTTTAGTTTTATCTCATTAAGCTCTCAAGATAGGTGAGAAAAAGCATTTTATGCTGCTACAGAAATACCTGTGCATGGCCTCTAAACTCACTGAAGATTCTTAATCGTCACATCATCATAACCCCCATATTAACTCTTCATCAAAAAAAGAAGCTGTTCGAATAAACAAGCCAGTGGTTTGGCACATCACAAGTGCAGCTACTTGATTATGACACCTTTTTGGTGAAGGAGGGTTTAAAAGTTGCTTTAGTTTTACAGCCTTTTTGGTTTTGCCAACACAACACTTACTGGACTTTTTCTGTCAACTGCATGAAACAATCCAGGATAAAAATATTTTCACTGATAGAAATTTCAGAGTGACCTTACAAACACCTTTCTGAGTATGGTTTGGGGAGGGCAGCAACCATGGGATTAGACAGAAATCATCAGTAATTCCTGCATCACCTTCACCGCCTCACTGAGAAATCTCATTTATCATTGAAAAGAATTTGATATTTTAAAAGGTTTATTCTTACACAGAGCTTACTCCAATTAGGTTGTGGTAACAGTACTTAAACCCTATAGAGTTCAAAGCATACTATAACGAAGTTATTTTTTATTACACAGATGAGTAATTTGAACAATCAAATAAATCTTAATCTGCATACTCACCAACTCTGTTTGAATTTTCTGTATCGTAAGTCTTAGTATGGCAATCTTTTTTTTCTGTCAGCTCCTGGATGATGCCTTTATTTAAGCAGATATCCACATGCCTATTAAAGGACATAAGACTAGTGGTTTTCTGTTCCAAATTACAAACTGGACAAACAAGAACACTGTCGTCTTTGGCTTCAAAGAAACAGGATGAGCTAGCTTCTTCTGTATTCTCAGTCTTTTCAAGATGGTCTGTATTGCCTAGAGGAGTTCTTTTGGGAATAAGACACTCTTCTATACACACGTTTCTAGCCATATCACTGAGTTGTTGAGGCTGTCTTTCTTCATGAGGTTTATCAACTACTATCCGAGTGAATTTTTCTGTGCTATTGCTGGAAGAGTTGTCAGATGTACTTGCTGACTGGCAAGTACCTGCTAACTGACAAGTTTTACTTTTTTGATATTCCTCAACATTTTCATTTTTACAGGATGAAAAGAAGCTAAATGTATTTTCTCCTGAATTCACATTATTTGATATACCTATGTTATTATTAACAAGACCCCCAGCAAGGCATTCATCAATATGTCTGTTAAGCTCTTTCAAATCACTGCTTCTTTGCTCCTCAAAGCAAACGGGGCAGGTGAACACTTTACACACAGTACAATTCTGTATGGCTGGGACTTTGTTTGTTTCTTCCACAAAACTTGCTGACGATTTCCCACCATGAAGGAGCTGCTTATCTACTGCCCCATTTAGAAAAAGATCCTCGCTGTTTTGCTGCCTTGCAGCTCCCTTTTTATCAAAAAAACTCCCTTGGGAAGTTGCTTCTGACTTTTTTGTGCAGTATTCTTGGTTGGATTTCCCCGGTTCAGGCCTAAGAAAATTAATTTCTTTTCCCGATTTTAGAAAACTTGTAATGCTTTTCTGTTGGTATTTCTTCTCTTCTTCACTTAGAAATCCTGAAACTCGTACACCTAATGAGGAAAAATGAGAGTTATATTTTATAATACCAATTTTATGATATTTTGATGCTAGTACTTAATGAACACCTTTCCTAGGTATACAACCATGCAATTGTCAAGAGAAACTACACTATCTGCAAATGCTAGCAGTGGAACACAAGATCCACTTCAAATCCAATCTTGAAATTAGAAGTATTTTAATTTAAGATTTTTGTTAATAAAAGAGGTTAGATAAAAGCTTGTTGTTACTGTGGTACAAAGCAGATTTAAGGTAACAGAATTAAAGACTGCTGTGCACAAAGTTTCTGCTCTCATGTCAATGCGTTCATTGTTCTAACAGGTTGTAGGAAAGATACAACCTCGGCCAATAAAAGAATACTGAATCACTATTTACCCCTCTACTACTCCTCCACTTCGTAAAAACTGCCAGTGTAATGGAAACTGGATAAATCCTTTTAGATCACTTCAGAGGACAGTCTGCTATTTTGGTATACAATAGTTCCAACTCTAGAGAGTAAGAAGGTTGAAGTAGCATACCCATAAGCCTTATCCGTAATGGATGAGGAGAAACGGTATCAATTTCTGTTCCTAACAAGTCTTTAGCAACAGCAAATATTTCCTCCTCAGTACAAACGGAAGATGGCACAGTTGAAGCTCTTGTTTTTACTTCAAAGTTCACATTCTTCAGCTTCAGGGTAACAGTTTTACCCTACAAAAGAAAGTTCAACATATATAACATCACAATGAAGCAATTCTTATATAGCTCCTATATAAAGGCTCTAAAGCCACAGTCAAAACTGTACATACATTTGGGTACAGCGGGAAGCATTGCCAAGAACTTGTCGATAAGATCCTGCACACTTCCTCTTAAGTTGTTGCCAAACCGAATTCTCTAACTGCTTCATTTGGCTAGAGGTCCCCAGCAGACCACCTGGCCAAGAGCAGACAGTCAACACATTTCGTACTCTGGCTGCAGCCAGAATCTCTGCCTCTTCCTATCACAGATGTATTTCCTCACCCAGAAATTTTCAGCACCAGTTATCTCAACCTCACTGGGAAACTGCGTAAGGATCTTTAGGTGACATCCAATGAAAGATCTGGTGAAAACTTCCTCCTGCATGGTGCTATCGTTAACAATATACAACACCTATGTATGCAAACATACATGCAATTCAGTACCTGCACAATGAATTCTCAGAATTAGTATTCTGCTAATCTAAAAGTAGTTGCCATCTTTTTCTTCAAATATGAACCCGCTGGCAACACTTTCAAGACTTTTCCCACTTAGCAGGTCCATCCAAATGCAAATAAATGGTTTGTTCTACCGCTTTTGAAAGTTTACACTTTGTGCCTCACAGCCAACGACTTCCCTTTCTACATGTTATCTTTTGAGCCTTTTATGGCTGAAGAGGGCTAATCAATTCTTTTAGTTTTGAACTGTTATTCCGCGCTTTACCATAAAGACCTTTACCATAAATATACGAGCTGTTCTTTCCGAAGAACAAGCAGAAACTGGGGGAAAAGAAATAGAGAGGCTGTTCATACCATTTATGTGATTAAATGGTTTGAATATCTTTTTACCAGATACAGGACACACCAACTTTTAATAACTACACCATGGGCTATCAACCACATCTGCTTTGAATACAAGACAACACAGTCTTTTCCCGCAGCTCTATTTTTATTAACATTAACTTTTAACATAAAATGTCTTATATACCAAATAAGTTGGTGAATTAGTTTATTTTTCCAGAGACATTATTAAAAAGCCATCTGAGCAAAATCAATTTTCTGCCTAAATCATGTACCAATTAAGGAATGGAATATTTTGAAGACAGAATGCATGGCAGGATATTGCTGAAAGCATTCACACTTCATTTTATAAACTTCATAATGGTGTCTAGCGGCGAGTAACTAGAGAATAATAAATACCTTAAGTCCTTCTTTCTGTAACTCTTGAGCCAGGTCTCTGCAAAGTTCTCGACACAAGCTGTACTGCTCTTCTGTTGTGTTAATTTCACTGAATGTTCTAAGATAAAGATAAGATTTTTTTCAGTATGAATCCCCGCATTTGTTCCGTGACTATTATCCAAAAAAAAAAATCTAAAAAATATTTTTAATGCTCTAAGGTTGCATGGGTTTAAATGTTGACTTCAAAGGGAGAACAAATGTTAATGTAAATATTCCAAAAAGATTGCAAATCCCTTCAAATAATTTGGCATTTCAACTTTCCATGCAGTATTTGAAAACGTATCAGATTCAAGCTCATTAATGCTTAAATATTTACACAAGAGAATACTAACACCAACTGAATTCATGTAGTCAGCCAAGACATTTGTATGTGATCTCCTCTGTACAGTACATGTAACGTCAGAAAAATGAAAGGATTAGAAAGTCAATCTCTGAGCCAAGTAACAAAAACAAATAATGCAGATGCTAAGAAAAAAAGGTTGCCAACTTAGATGATTTTGGCTAGTCTCAGAGGAGGAAAAACTAGCTTTCCGCCAAAAATATTGCTAACTGCCTTCCTGAGAGCTCCTTAGCAGAAGAAATGCAATTTTTAATTAATTTTGTAACAGTAATTTTAATAACTGGAGAGGAAAGGTGACCTTTAGCTAGTAGTGGTTTTAAGGGAAGCAGGTAGCAAAACTTATGGCTGCCACATGCTTTGGGAAGGTCTCACAGATCCAGCGTTTCATGCAAGCCTTTGTATTTACAAACGTGAGGTCGCTAAATCTGTGGATTTCACATCTCTAAATAACATGCAGGTGTATCTGATTGTATTGAAAAGTCATCCTTTATTGTGATTCACATGCCTCCAGGAAGGGTTATAGGTTGTCAAAATAACTAAGGACAGACAATGATCCTGTAATATTAGCCAAACACTACTAATTATCCATCTAGTGCTCTATTGACAATGCTGCAGCCCACTGGCAGCACAGCCATGCCACAGGAAAAGTGGGAAGCTGCAAAAACATTAGCTTTGGAAGGTGCAGGTTGGAGAGTGCCATTGCAGACTCATCTCTTTGCTCCATACAACTAATCACATAACCAGACTAGGTCATCTCCCTCCATCTCTCTCAGGAAGAAGAAAAACAGAAGAGCACAAGATCATCCCCAAATTACCCATCTGTCTCCAAACCAGCACAACATTAGAGCTCTGTATTTCTTGGCTCTGGTTGTAGCAAACTCTCTGGGACTTACAATTGTACTAGGACTATGCAAACTAGGAAAATATAGGCTGGGGAATGAAAGGGAAGAAATAAAAGGGAAAAACATAAGAAAGTGATTGGTAATTCAGAAAAATATCTTGGCAGAACTTCATCACAGGAAGTCACATATAATGTGCTTACCCTGGCATAAAATCAAACCATGCCGAAAGCTACATACACTTCTGGTTTTCTGATATTTTATAAAGCCTTTTGTGAGCCAATGCAATATAACTGTGAACTGCATCCTGAAAAGTGTATGTCATCCATAGAAACTAACACACCATTTTGTATTGATGGCAATGATTCACTAATCAGGTGGTAAAATGGAAAAGATTGGAGCAAGGAGCGCATAAGAGTCTTCAAGCACCCAAAAAGGTTTTGCCAAAAGGAAGGAAATAAATGGTTCCTCAAATCAACCAGTGATTAACTTAATGGCCTTAACTTGCAACAAGGGTGCTCCAAGTCAGGTACTAGGTAAGCATATTTATCCTAATGGCAAAGGCACCAAAGCACTAGAATAGCTTATCTGTAGGAGTTTCCAGGTTTCTCTAAAAATATTTTCTATGATCTTAAGACTGCAAACATTATTTTGCAATATAATCAGAAGAACAATAGTTAAAAACTGGAATATACGAAGACATTAAACTTTCAAATTAAATACTCAAATCTTTATATTCACACTGTATATTATGACTTAAAGTCCATTTTGATGCATTAAGGGCATTAAAAGAAGCAGATAATGATAAAACAGAATAGATAAATAGATAGAAGAAACTCCATGCCATTCTGGAGGAGAAAAATGTCTGAACTAAATTTGAGCTCACTGTACATGCCTTTAGCCTTTATGCATAGGCATAAATATGGTGACATTATTTAACTAAAAACCTTTACAGGAGTTGGTATTTAGCAAGTCTAGCAACTAACATAATCTTTTAATTAAAAAGGTTTACCTTTCAGTGCTCATACTTTTTCTTTCTCCATCCCTTTAAAGAGAAAAAAAAAACATTTTATAAACTCACTTTACATAGAATTATTGGCTTTTAGTAAACTCCAAGACAACCAACAGTGTCTAAAGGTAACAGCAACCTTTCCCAAATTTGGGATGTTAAGCTTTTTCCACAAATCTTGTATATCAAGTTTAAGAGAATGCAAGAAGGGAACCATACGTCTTCAGGAACCATATGTCTTCATGAACCTTTACATACTAGAGATGAAGCAGAATCATAATTACATACGACACAAAAAAGTTTATAAAATTAGTCGGCCTTCTCTATTATTAGGAATCTGCTGAGTTAAAAACAAAACCTAATTTCTATAGAGCTTTTGCAGTTTACAGTTTACCTTCATAAAAGCCCTATTCATACTATGAATCTTTTGGATTCTCTTCTGGGGAATTAGTTGGCTTTCTTTCTTAGATTACTACCCTTTTAAAATCTTTTTAAAGAGGATAATTATTCTTTCTCTCCTTTTTTTGTTTTTCCTCATTCTTTTGACTGAGCATTCTTTGGACTTGAGTAAAAAGTACTTGCAGATAATCCTCTGGGGAACTCTCTGTAAAAGGAGTTTCTAAAAACTTTTTAAATACTCCTTTATAAAAGGATTTTCCTAGAGGATTTTCTTTTAAAGTCATTTTTGTGTGTATAAGCACGAGAAATAACAAATTTATGAGGCTCACATTTTCCTAAAAGAAGCTGGTCAAAGACAATGACCATAAGCTGAAACATTTACTGATCACTCACGTTACAGGCTTACTTTCTCCACCTTAAAAATCATTGAAATCAAGTAGGTGCAAATAAAATTTTTTTTTAGTCAACACAATTAAAAACATTTTTTCCTTCATCTTTTGAAAAGCTCCTATTATTTTTTTAAACATGCTATGAGAGTTCCCAGTATGTGAGGGATATAAAAGTATTCAGTTCTAAATAAAAAAAAGTTATTTTTGTTATTTTATATGTACATAAACATGAAGGGAAACCGAGAACTGAAGTCACATATTTGACTTATGTCCAACGGAAGCATAACATAGAAGCATGAAGAAGATCAGATACCAATGTGAATTTTACAATCATGTAATATTAAAGAGCAACAAAGATTGTTCTTCAGATTTCTGCGTAGGGTAAATAACATTTCTCAATAGTTACTTTAGGAATTATGAGGTTATCCTAATTTCTTGATATACACTCAGGCACAATTCTCCAACAGACTTTTTTGCATTTCCTATATTAGATACGGCTGCTGCACATAGCAGAGTTACTTTTTGTCATGTCTGTAAGTGTACTAACAACACAGGCATAGTCACAAAACTCTTAAAAAATACTGAGCCAAATTTGCTGGATGAGTATAAAATGCATTTTAAAATGTATAGCATGCAACACACAAGAAAGCATTTAGCATACTGTGAATGCCTTAAAAGCAAATCAAAAACCTACTTTTCCAAATGCGTTGAGCCCAAACCAAGCGAGATACCCAAGAAATTATGCCAAGATGCTTCTGAAAAGAGAAGAGAAAGCAGCGCCCTCTGCTGGTAAAGCTCTGAGCAAGTCTCAATTCCAAGGGCTTTTAGCATCTTCTCTGTTACTCTTCCTATACCCGGCACCTGAAAAAGAGCAACCACCATTTGGCTGGCAATTTCCCATTTATAGATTCAGTATCTATGCGACTGACATCAATCACTACCAGGCAGATTACTTAAAAAAAAAAAAAAAAAAAAAAAAAACTTCTGAACTTCTGTAAAAGATCTTACTTTTAGAGCATTAAAAAAAAAACAAACACCAACCACAATTACGTAATAATAAATACCATGGTATCTCTTACCTTCCGAATGGGTAAATCTTTCACAAAGTCTAATACAACTTGTCTCTCAGGTATAATCCTGTATTGTCCATTAGGTTTATTATAATCACTGCACATTTTTGCTAGCATTGTATTTGGAGCTATTCCTTAAAAACAAACAAATAATAAACATTATAATAACCATAATAACATAATAAGCATTTGGCAAAGACTAAACACAAAGAGAAAGGAGATAACAAATCTAGCTATTATCAATTATAATTCTGCAGAAATGTTTGTAATAGACATGTAAGTATATGTATATGGCATCTTAGGCACAATCCACATACCAGGTGAACTCCACCAACTATTTTGACACTCAGGGTAGCACAACACTAATCACTCATTGGAGATTAATATTTTGTGTTTAAAAATAAAATCCATTATAATACTGAACAAATTTATGATGGCAATAATTATAGTATAAGAAAAGGGAATGTTTACAATACTTATAAATGCTAATCTAACAAAAATATTTCCTAATCACAGTTCACGAAAAGAACTAAATTAATTTTGATAAATTGTACCAAACCAAATTCTTCTGTGGACTACCACTATTATGCAGTTATTTAGTACTTTAAAAAAAAAGATATTTATCCCTCATGCTGTTTGATGGAGAAGGGACTTTCCTTTTTTCCATCAAGAGAAGTTCTTATTGGTGAACTCTGAAAATAGTTAGTAACAGACAAATAGAATTATTCTGCTCTACAAAGTGATCTACTCTTGGATGTGCTTAATAATTTATTGCTGTAATGTATTAGCCAAGATGATAGAAATAATTCTATTTGTTATTGCTTAGCAGTACTTTTCAGCCTTCTGTTTTCGTTCTTGACACAAAATCTGACGCACTTATGAGGGCTAGATCTGTTTTCGAAACGATAACTCATCTTTAGGAAGACAAAACTTCTCTAGAATATTTTGCTGTCATCCATGGTATATCTGGGGTCTTATCTTGCCTCCTTTTATTAGCTGTTTTCTTTATCTCTGCTTATACTTGACCTCCTGATAACTACGTGGCTGCCCATTTGCTCACCCCTGCTTCATGAAGCTCAGTACTCCTCGCTGACTCACTGACCTCCATCAGAGTCACGAGGACAGTATCCAAACTCAGTGGCTAGGGACTTATTGTTTTCTAAGGACCTAATACAGATATCATCATAATAATAAGCTGCACAAAGTTCAAAGATTTAAGGCTTGAAAGATAAAGGTGTCCTTGCTTGAGCAGGGGGGTTGGACTAGATCATCTCTAGAGGTCCCTTGCAGCCTCAAGCATTCTGTGATTCTATGAAAAATATTAAAAAGCTGGTAAGCAGTTTAATTTAAACACTTTTTCCTTGGATAATTATCATTTTAATGGAATTTAATATCACTCTAAGCAAGAAACAGTGTGGAGAAGCATTAGAATATTTAACTGTATAGACCTGCAATTCAAACCAACAGCAGACAGCAAGAGATTTTTCTATGACGATAAGCTGACAAAACTAATCTATATGAGGCACTAAAATACATATTATCAGTGTTAAAATTAGCACATGAGCATCTTGGTCATTCTTCCATGCTACTTCTATTTCAAAAATAAATAAATAAAAGCAGTTAAATCATTCTTTTTGCTCATACAATAAGTTATTGCAAAAATGAAGATAAATATATACACACATATATACTTATGCAAAAACTGATTCCTGCAAGTCAGTCCTTACAGACACACAGCCAGAGCATACTCTGCAGCACAAGAACATTGTGGCCATGCTGCTTTCTTGTGCTTGTAACACACACTGACATTTCTGTGTGGAAGACATATGGAACCATAAAGCATCATAATTCACGTCTGAGTACCTGCACTAGCAGTCAGTCTAGTTTTCTGTTCAATCCTAAAGCGCATTTCCTTCACCACTTCCTCTGCAGAAGTTCCAAAGACAACTGAATTCCCTGCTGATGGGCTTCTTTGTTCACAGTGGTCACCTGCCAGAGAAGTGGCGTCTTCAAAGAGTAGCGGTGAAGAGGAGAACACGTCTTCCTTTGAATTGAATTTGGCAGGCACACCTATATTCAGTTTATCTATATTTTAAAGGAATTCACAATTAATCCATCTATATACAGTGCATAATTTACTGACTGCTTTCTGCAGCAACTGAAAGACTTTTTCAATTGGAATTAAAAAGTATGCAATTATTTACCTAAAAAAATTGCATTGCTCTTGTTTTAAGAAAAGAGAGCCATAACAGTTTTGTTCTTACTGTAATCTGAGTTTGAATTTAGATTAGAAGACTTGGTTAAGAGAAAACATGAAGGTTTAAACCCTGTTGCTGTAACAGGAAAAGAATGTCAAGGTTTTGGCATTATTTTTGTTTCATATTAGAGTGAAGGACAGATGCTCCCTTTTTTGTGCAAACAGAAATCCTTTGTGGAAGGCTTTTTTTCCATGTTCCCCAAGCAAATTCAGGTTCTAGAATAACTGATTCTAGAAGCTTCCCAACTTGGACAGCTTATTTGTGCCTGCAGTCATGGCAGAATCTGTAAAACCAGCAACATCCTATCTAACTGTACAAACACTTTGCTATTGCAGGTTCCCATTCTGACTGTTCACTTGTTCCAAGAGAATACAGACTTGAAAAAGACATCAGGAATAAAGAGGCATGCAACTACACATCAGTGACACTTAGTTTGTAAAGACAACAATGTCAGTTTCTTTTGTTCTACTAAGTCTTTTCAGTACAGTGTACTGTTCATTATCTTCTTGGCTATTTCAAAGGCTATTTTTGAATACAAGCATTTTTGAATACTTAGAATATAAATGTTTTGGTTTGTGCACCAAACATTAGCACCATTCCTCCTTTTTTATTATTCCCAACTGTGCATACAGCTGTTGGTGTGGTTTCAACTACATCTTCTGGAGCCAAATAAAATGCTGTCATATTTTAACCACTACTGCTTAAAATTCTTGAAAAGCTCACTTTCCTCATGCATTTTTGCTCTTGTAAAACAGTCATATCAAGGGACCTTATATGCATGCTGTTTGCAGGATAATTTCTCATGTTTCTGCTATACAGGACTTCCTGTACTACTAAGGAAACACTCTTTAAAATATTAATAACCTTTAGAACAAAACGTTTATTTATTCTACACCTTTTCAAGTCACTGGTTTATTACTGCCTACTTGCACAACTAACACTTTGACTTGAAAAGGCAAAAGGCATATCTTAAAAAAAAACCTTTTGTTTGGGATTAACAAACCTAGCACCATTTATCTCAATCTAAGACTATTCCCCCAACTCTGATTCATCAGCAGGACCACTTTTATGCATGGATGAGTAATAGCAAAAGTTAATATATAACCTATACAAAACAAAGGTAGAGAACATAGGGTAGTACAATTTATGCAAAGACTTATATTTAAGTTCTTGTACTTTTAAATTGGCACAGTTTATTTGATGTGCACATTATGTACATGAGAACAGAATCTTTAGCTTACCATTTTCTGTAGCGCTTTCTGTGTTCAAGTACCACCTTCTCTTATCTTCAGGCCAGTTCAATCTTTCTTCCAAGTACTCTGTTATATTCAGATAGGCTTCATCTAGACCCATAGGCATGAAGTTGGGATCATATTCAGCCAGTATTTCTCTAACCTTGATAAACATATAGTGCATGTTTAAAGCCATTTTGCTGTTACAACAGATCTTAACACACAACTTTCAGGCGAACAAATGTGCTGTCATGTCTCAAGATGACTAGGGAATTTGTAGAATAAGTAATTTATTGTCAACGAAAATGTATAGCATTGATTCTTACAAGTAGCAAGACATCAGTAATAAGTTAGAGTTAAAGAATGGTTTTGAGCAACAACTTTTACTTGTAGAGGTCTTCAAGATCAGTATATAAAGACCCCGCAGACACCCAGTTCAGAGACCTGCAGTAACCTCATGAACAAAACACTGGGGATCGGGGAGCTCGTCAGAACTCTGGAATGAGCACATGATCTAATGAAGCTTTTTTTCTTGCACTGTGCATGGAAAAAAAATAGGTTTTTAGTTCCATTGAAACTAAAGTAATAACCAACAGTTGGGGACAGTTAACAGCAATGCCTGGGACCACAGACAAAGCTTATCAGAAATTCTTTAATGACAGCTGCATCCTCCCAAAAGAAAATATCTTAAAACAACTGGCCACGTTCAGTCACATGTACTCCATCTTTCTGAAACTGATTAAAGATGGGATTCACAACACAACTTGCAATGACAACATTAAACATGTTGAAATACTTTCAATGCAAATCCCAAGAGAAAAGTATAAATATAAAACCAATCTGGACCTTTAACAGTTTTCTTATCCTCCTCATATCATGTAATCTGAGATCCCTAACAGGTTCAAAACCACTCTGAAGCACTTCTATATATTTACTTAAAATAGAAGTAAGATTGAACTTGGTTTAATTAGAAGCAAAATCAGCCATATTCAACCAAAAACTACGAATGAGCTTATTTTTATCTTTGTGTCTGAAGTTCAGATGTTAAGAAATTTTGGCATAATTTTACTAGTCATGCATGAGTTTGATGTAAGATAAGCAAAACATACAGTCTTTATAAATGTGTGTATGTGTGTGTGTGTGTGTGTGTGTATGTATGTACACGCACACGCATGTATTTTAAGCATTTGTTCTGGTGCTAAGTAAAATCCCTTCTTCCCTTGAAGCAAGGTGTAATTTCTTTCTTCCCTTCATTTTGAGTTCATGAATGCATCTTGCTTTTCTTTCCAGTAATTAACACTAAAAAGAATTATTATGTTTTGTATGAAATAATTATCTCCAAGTTTTGAATGTAGTTACAGCTTCCTAATAGTCAGATCATGCTCCATGGTTTTGAAGAGAATTATAATAGGGATCAATTAGTATTAATAGTTCATTATATAGTTTCGAAAACCTCTTATCAGCATCACTACTGGCTTCATGAAAATTGCAGTATGGATGAGTGTAATGCTTTTTCACCTCCTTGCCAAAAAACACAATGTTCTATTTAAATGATATTCAAAGCCACATCACTGAAGACTTTAACACTTAAAATACCACTTCTAATGTTATTCATAAAAAAAAAAGACATTCATAAAGTCTACAACAAAGTCTATAGACTATTGGTTAGAGAGTATTTCTTTCAGACTTACCTCTTTACTCACTTTGCCATATTTTTCAAAGTTTAATGGCACTATAGTTAGATGAGGGCATAGCTTCTTAGCAATAAACCCAGGCATGGCTACACGCACACCAAATCTCCTAGCATGGTAATTTGAGGTGGACTTAGGAGAGAAGAAATAGGCTTAGTCTTTAACAATCAACTTAAAATCACAAAGCTCCAGACAGAGGGGATTCATGAAGCTGATATGCACGTTAACTCCTGCATATTAACTGATGAAGCTAATACGTAAGTTCAGCATCCCCTTTTCCAGCCTGTCTAAACTTTTAAACTTTTATCACCATGTTTCACTGCAAACTATACAAACCTAGACAGTCCAAGAATAGATGTTTCCCCCCTTACTCTCGATAAAAATTCATAACAATATCACAATGTTATGTTATTTTACATTTTATTACTCTTCAGATCCATGTAATCGATTTCTGTACTAGCTTGACACTTGGCCTTACCAACATACTCATTGATCGCACTGCTATAGGTTTCTCCTTCAGCTCTGGATTGTCTCGCATTTCTACAGCTGCATAGAAGGCATCCATGTCAATGTGTACAATCGTACAGCTGAGGTTACGGTTCTGCTCCAGCTCCGTCACAAGCTTGTCCACCTGAACAGTGTATACAACCAATAACTAAAAACCTACTAAACTAGCAGAACTGCATTGGATAGTCCTAAAAACTCCAAAGCGGCTGATACTTATAAAAAAAAAATTCTGATGCAACTCAATTATGAATGAGGTATGAACTAGGAGTTTCATTAGGAAGCATGACAGTGTTAATTAACAGGCAATTTTCAAGTTTTTTTCATTTACTGATTTAAGACAAGTATGTGGTCTTGCTAAGTCCTATTTATACAGCAAAAGGCTAGTGCTGTTGAGAAAAAAATATATATATATGCATATATACGTATACATATATTTATAGGTGAGCTTCAGGCATCACGAAGTTCAGGAAATACAAGTAATAAAGTGGAAGATTCCTTTTGCTTGCAAGTACAAGGACACACACACGACCTCAAAGTAACTGTGCAGAAGCATCTCTGGCTTGATTGCACTGGGTCCTGAAAAGAAAAATTATCCATGCAATTGTACAGTTACTGCTACTCTTTGAGATGAAGTGAACAACAAAAAAAAAAAGGTGTCCATGAGTGTTGCACCTGAGAAATGATATCTTAACTTTTTTTCCTGTTTTGCTCCAAGTTCTTTCAAGGATTGAAGACTGAATGGGCCCTCAAATTAGCCTATTTCATAAAGTAGAACAAAGTAGTTCCCTGAGGTTACTGAGCAGGACAAAATGGTTTGGACAAATTTAGGGTACGAGAGGAAAGTACTGAGACAAGTCACTAAAACCAAAGAAATAGTGGAGGATTTACATGATTCAATATACAGGAAAAAAAAAAAGGGGGCAGATTGTTACATTTAAATCCTTTTGGACTAAGTTTGTTTTATTACAATATTAATGCAGTAAAGGTTAACCCTAGAGAGTAATCTGACGTTGTTTCTTATCCCATGATGTAAAAATGTGCTCGTTTAAATCTTCATTTGCATTTTTTTAATCCATTAGGGAAATGGCAGCTTAAAAAGATTTATAAGCACCTTCTAATAGTCAGTATTGACAAAACCCAGTGGAAAGCATCCTTCTGCAAAGTGGATGCTTTTACCATTTTTTTAAGAAAAATGGTAAAAATATTACCATGTATTTTAGGTATCATAAAACACCAAAGAAACGTTGGCATATACACACTTCAGAAAGAGAGCATTACGTTGCAGATTCTGTTTTATGTTATTGTTTCCAACATGCAACCAGGATGTTGTCTAGTAGTGGCATGAAGTTTTTGGTTGGTTGTATTTATATTACAGCACTTGCATTAACTGCCAATTTAAGCAGCAATATCTCTGCCTCTAACCCTTACAAACAAGGAGGACGTGATCTGAAGATAAGAACTTGAAGTGTTATTGGAAGTAGACGTATATACACCTTTTTACTTCCAGAATCTCTCTCACTTACAAACTTGGAAAAGAGCAAATTCTCTAACGGCACATGAGAAGGTAGCACCAAAAGAAGAAGAGTTAAATAATTTAATAGGAAAAATAAGGAAGGTAAGATCACAAATAGCTGAACCTGTAGGAAACCTACATAAAATGATTAAATATAAAATCACATAGTTAAAAGGACAAACCAGATTTCAAATATTAAGGGAGGAGATAATTGCCTGGGGAACAGCATCCAAAGAGCAAGCAACAAGAAGATGTTTGGAGATGTTCAAGGTCCTAGATGGCAAGAGAGAAAGACCAGCTGGGCCAGGAGATGGGAGACTGAAATGAAGTCCCCTGGGGGTAAAGACAAGGGCCCAAGAACAAGGACTGCTTTGGAAAGATTGATAGGAACCTGGGCATGCATGACAAAGAGCAAAAGATTTAGAATACAGTAGACTGAAAGGAAGGAGGAGAAGGAGAAAAGGGATCAGAATTTGGGATGAAGATACAAGGGCAGCATAAAAATCACGGATCAGAGCACACTTGCCTACAAGCAGTGGAAGCAAGTGCAAGATTTCCAAATATTTTATAGCTTACTAGCCATCAGAGATCTGAAATCTGAACCAGCAAAAACTGATGCTCAACCCCCTCTAATGATTCTTCTCACGCAGAATAGCAGCTGATGGAGCAACTACTACATTTCACTGGAATTAAAGGAGACTGCTATTTGAGCAAGTGGCAAGATTTCCAACTAAAGCTTTAAATGTAGGTTTTAGCAGGGCTAAGAACTTCATATTAAAAAAAAAAAAATTACCAAAAAAAGGTAACTAGTGTTGCAAGATAAAAGAATCAAGCTGAGTAGAACACAGCACTTAGGCTATCTAAGCAATTCAAATTTGTTGGCTATGACATATGTACATGCTTAAACTACACAATCATACACCGATTTTTATAGAAGCCATTTCATCTATTTTATATGGACTATGTTTTCGGTAAAGACAGAGCACTGTAGTGAAGAAGGGTGAAAATGGAAGTATGGATTTCATGGTTAAATGATGCTGCCTCAGAAAAGTTAAAAAAAAATAAAATCTGTAAATCAGTGTCAAATTGGGGCCTAGAAAACTTTGAGATTATTGTGTAGCTTCAAAAAGTTTGTTATATATAAAAGTTTGTCATGATTCAACTGTTTGTGTTTATCATAAACATGAATCAGGAAGTCTGCTTGTCTTTTTTTTTTGGACACTGATTTACAGAGTTGATTTGCAGATTTGTAATATATAAATAAAAATTGTACACTGAAACTCAGGAACTGTAAGCCTCACAGCAGTAGCCAAAATTAACGGGCAAATGTTATCTTTACTTGCCTCAGCTCCTCATCTGTAAAACAAAGGTATCACTTCACTTTGTTTTACTGCAAGAAGCTTTTAAAGAATTGACACTACATGGTGTATAACAGAGTAAAGACTGTGAGAAAGTCAGTAATTTTGCACTCAAAACTGGGTTAGACTAGTGCATAAGAAGCAAGGCTTGGGGCCACCCATTGAACAATGAGGACAAGAGTAAATATTGAATAACTATTCACTTAGTGAGCACTATACACTGAACGAAGCAGGAATACTGTTCGGGAAAAAAAAATGCATGCAGCCATGTAATTAAAGCCTGCATCAAAGCACAAACAACAAATGAAACAAATTAGGCCTGTACAAGCAGCTTGAACTCTGCTGTGCTTAAGAACGTTCAGTACAGAACCTTAGCACAGGAGTTCTCTTTTAACAAGCTTTGATACCCAGTACTATTTACAATGCTATTATCTATCATCTGAAAAGAAGTAGACTCTTCATCATTTAGCTCAGAATAATTTTATTTTTTATGACTGCTTGCCCTGATGATTTTTTCATTAATTATCATGAATAAGGAATAAATCACCTGCAGAAGAATTGACAACTCTGACCCCCTCCCATCCCTTCGTGGGCCATTTAATAAAAATATGAATATATTAAGTACATAGCAGTAAATGACAGTTTGCCATGATACCTATTAAGAAAGCACTTAATAAAAATTTTCATAAGCCACAGTAACATTTAAATCATTCAAGCTAAAAAAAAAATTCTTTTTTTTTGGCATACAGAAGCATTTCAGATGCATTTTAAAATGTAGTTTTCTCCTAGCAAGCTTATAAAAAACTTAAATCACCAAAACATTGTACACACTTTTACTTGCATGACAAACAACAGAAAGTCAGTTAGCTTTGTACTCAGCACCAGAACTTAACATAGAACAAAAACATTTATTATTCTCCATTTATTCGTAAAAGTCTTTAAAATATTGGTACCTGCAGCTGTGCTTTCAACAGCTGTTGGCTTGTAATTTTCTCTTTCAGCCTCATCATCTTTTCAATTCGTTGGTTAACTTGCTTATCTTTTTTCAGTTCATTTTCATAAAATCTAGAACCCTGCAAAAAAATGCAAAAACACTACGGTTTTCATTTGTTTGCCATTTCCAACAAACAACGAAATAGTAAATTACTTTTATGCTTTAAATTACACATTTAATATGAATATTAAAAAATATTTAGAATGATCTGATTTAACCATTAAAGACAGGCAACCTAAAACGGTTACCTATAATGGTAAGTTTTATACAAATCCAAAATATTAGAAAATCTGAAACAAAAGAGACCAACGATGCTTTTTATATGGCTTCCCAAATGACACAAATTTCGCCACATTTCCATATAGTTGAACCTATATGGAAAGTCTCAGGTCTCAGGTCCACTTAGAGTGCTGAATACTTTACAAATCACTTAATCTTGAAGGATATTGCAGAAATAGAAGTTCCCTAAGCAAGAGCCCTAAGGAAGCTAAAGCCTTTTACCTCAGCACAGTGCAATGTTACATACTACTGCCTCGGAAACAAAGAGAGCACTTAAAGACCTACTCGATTCACTTCTATCAACCCAATGGATAATCTCCCTGAGGGAGCCCAACCTGCACTCCCACTTCTTCCTCACACACATTGCTTTCTACTGAGGAGCAGTTGCTCTCCTTTTACACCGGTGAAAGAGAAAATTAGGGGAAGTGAAGAAGCTTTAGATACTGTTTAACAGATTAAAAAAAGTAAACAAACCAACCTTGGTAGCCTCCATGATGATTTTATTGATTTTCTCTTTATCCAAACCTTGCATTCCAGCTTTGTTATCATTGAGGCCCATTCTAAGTAGAACTCCATCATTACAACAGTTGCTATTCTCTTTTTCAATGTCCTCCATATTACTTCTTGAAAACAAGAACTTGTCCAAAGACTTAGTACCTGCAAAAAGGGCTTAAGTCATATATTTTTTCCCAAGTTTCAGATGAACAATATAGAAACAACTTGTGGAATTCATCTGATGTTTAAACAACATGCAATCTGATATTAAAACATATATATATCACATACAATATACATACACATATTACAACCATGAATATTTGCACTCTATAAGTGTTTGGAGACAGTAAGATCTTGTGTTTTTAGGAAATGAAACCTTCTTTTCTAAAAACTCCCTTACAGACCTAACTGGGCACTACCAGCTTCAGGTAAAAACCAAGAACTTGAAATACGTGAAATTCATATCTATATAGTAGCCTATTAGAAGAAACACGACTGCTTCATAAAGTAATACCATTCACTAGACTACTACCTTAAAAGGGGGGGGGAGGGCTTCAAATTGCAGCTGACCATTGTTCATGTAGTCATTACTCCTGCTTGACACAAGCAGCACAATCTTTCCCTGTCATTTCTAGCTCAAATTAAAGACTTCTTTTGAATAATAAACCAGTTTTTTAGAAAGAGATATTTTCAATTAGAAGTTTGGTATAAAATTTTAACTGAAAATTAAACTCAAACATTTTTCTCCACACCTGTGTATATCTATGGCACCCACCTACTAGAACCTACCATGATTTTACCATTTAAAGAGTACTGTAAATAATTTCTTAAATATGCAGGTACTTCTGATATGCAAACTTTTAACCTTTTGCTTGCTCTCTGTGAAAGTATATAGTCAAACTCTTCCATAGTCTCCCTAGGTAAACAGTTTAGCTATTTTATATATATAATTACATATGTATATAAAGTCCTCTGTAGCATCACCTTGTGATCTTATTTTTGCTGGGTTACTACACAAGCAGGGTCCACGTGTGACACTGGCATACTTAACATGTATTTAGAGCTTAAAAAAAAAGCCCACAGAGGGCAGCTCTTCCCACTCGAGCTGCTGACTCAAACACCTTCAGCTCTACTCTCGGGCAGGAAGCACATTTATTCCTCAACTTCCCCTCTGAGCTGCTCCTTATGACAGGAGTCCTTCCTGTTAGGGCCACACCCTCTCAAGCACATACAGCGGCAGGGCTAAATTCAACCACAAAGGACATGAACCTGAAGAGAATCTTTGAATTTATCTGGAAAGATATTTAAAATTCTGCTTTTTTAGTACAAGAGTAAAGTGGTACTCATTATGAACCAAGCTGAAGAATATAATTGAGTGTTTGTGCACTTGGACTTGAATTTTTACAGTTAAAAAACAACACAGGTGACTTTTTATTTTTATTTTTTTTTAAACTGACAGTAGCAATGTCACTTTTCGGAAGATATTCTGGCACATATTAGCCAGTTTAGCCAGTTGAAGTCACCTATTAAAGTCAGTCATGCTTAAAAAAAAAAAAGTTTGGACAAAAATATTCCAATTTCAATCATATTCCATTACTTGTGATTATCACTTACAATGTATTGAGAAGATGCTGAGCTATGCAAAACTATGTTTACATTTCAAGAAACAGAAGTTATCTGGAGATGTAGAGACCAGAATCTCCTCTTGTCCTTCTGTAATACTTCAGCTTCATAGCTGTGTGCACCTATCAAGTAAAGCACTATGATGGCAAACATTTTCTTAAGTTTTGCACCTACAGTAGGATAATTTGTTACAGTTAACACACATTTTTACCAAAATGAAGCTGCTAGAATTCAAACAAAGGAAAAAGCCCTGCATTCCACACATCAGTTCCACATTTCATCAAGAGCAGATAAACCCCTCCCACATCAATTAGCGATTACATTGTTACCAGGAATTTCTGGTAAGTAATAATTCCCAATAAACAGTTTCCTCGAGGTAAATGCCCTCAGATCCTCCACTATTCTCCTTAATTCTTTTACCATTCATTCCCACTAAGGAGCTGGCATGAAGACAAGCTTATTGCTTTCAGTTACCATTCTAGTCTCTGCAGCATTTTTTTTTTGTGCTGCTCCATATTCCAGCAAAGGTAACTTCATCCCTAGGATATACAGATCTTCCCCTTCCTCATTCAGATCACTCTTAAGGCAGTTTCGGGTTTTGGGTTGGTTTTTTTTTTTTTTGATTTCTTCTTGCAGGGACTTCAAACATTAGTTCATATTGGTCAAAAAACTTATCTATCATAGTGTTACGTATCATGCGTAACACCATGTGTATCATAGTGTTACATAACATGTGAGAAAAAATGTCCACAATAATATCAGTGCTGAAAAAAAAAAAGTTTATAAAATGTCACATGAATGTTGGTCTCCTAATGTGTATTATCTTTTCAGCTTCTTGTACAAAACCAGAATGTATTGTCACTGCTGAATAATAAAGTGTATAAATACTAATTAATAGCTTAACTGGAACTGAGAAGAAATCATTTACCTGGGGGCGTATTGTTAGCGCTACACCAAAGACCAAAGGTGTACATAAAAGAAAAAAAAAAAGTAACAATAACTTTTAATTACTTAAGGAAAAAAAAAAGTGAAGATACCCTACTTTTTAGAATAGCAAGTCTGACAAAAAAAAAGTATATTAAAATGAAGCAGAAAAGCTACAGTAAGGCAACAGGTATGTCACTGTCAGATAAAACCCTGGATCACTTGCCTTTAATAAAAGAAAAATAGAAATATCTAAGGAAATGCAGGCAAAACAATTTGAAACACCCTGCAAAATATGAATATCAGTGTAAAAACTAGCAAGGGGGAGTATTAATGATTTCAATGCAAAGCTAACAGGGAAAACATTTAGCTTGCGGCAACATGATCATGTTTAAGTTTTGCCTAAAACAACTTGAAAAAGGAGGTAAAGCTTTATAATGAGATGAAACACTAACTTGGAACAGTCTAGGCAAAGCATGACATATTTTTGGCATACTGTCACCTCAAGACTCTGCTGCAAGACTGAGCTGTTTCCTCTAATTCAGGACATGTTAAATCTCTCAGCGCCACACCGAGTAAGTAGGGTGTGAAATTGGGGAGCCTGCGAAGGCAGTCTGCAAATAAACCCAATGCTAATATTCCCTTGATTTGGAGATGGGAGAAGGTAGAAAGAGAATCACCTGTAAATGAAGGAGGTAACTTAAAAATTTCTACTGAAAAGACTTCTAAAGGTAAAAAGGAAGAGTAAGTGGCAATTAATGGAGAAAAAAAATGGAGAGGAATGACAGGATGGCAGTACTGTAGAGGAAGTGTTGTTACTAACCTTCAATCTATAGAGGTAGGAGACCCCCCAAAAGCCCCAGTCACACTTCTCTAGGAGCAACCACAGAAACGGAACCGAATTAATCATGGTTATATACTATGTGAAAGTGTCCGAGACACTTTAGCAGTGACTCAGTGGAAAAGTCACAAGACTGAAAAAAAGAAGGAATTCAAGAGACACGATTTATTTTCAAAAGCCTGACCTTTATTCAAAAATCAACATCTTTTTTGATGGTTGACTCAACTAGCCTGAAAGAAAATGCTTTTATTTGAGACTGTGTCACTCCTCCACCCTAACTTCATTAAAAAAATGTAGCAATTCCAGCAGCAGAAACTATGTTGTGTAAAAACTTAAATGCCTTCATCCTATTATATAAAAATACTAATACATGAGAAAGAAAAAGGCCAAAATTATTTCTAAGAACATTCAGTTTGTTGAACAATGTTATCAACAAAGTAATAACACTTTAGAAGTCTTTAACAGTTTGCCTTTTATTAACAGTTGCTAAAGAAACATCCTCTATGTCACTAGTACGGAAAAATCCTTGAAGAGAATTTACTTGGAAGAGAATTCCCCCAAATGACGATTTGATGCATATAAATTGTGTACCAGTCCTCATAAAGGAAAACAAATTCTGTCATTTTTGCCATCAGATGCTTATGGCAGTAAAAGAAATACTGTGAGATGCGAAGAAGTTACTAAGATATACCACTTCTGACCTCCCCTTCTTAAAGGCAGAAGGTAAGAATCAGGCAGCTTATTATAGACAGGTAAGGAACCATCATTTACATCTAGACTGCCCAAAGCGAGTCTTTACAATGCGTAAAACAAAATAAATGAACAAACAAAAGCCTTGATATTGGAAAAAGCAACAAAATTATTTCAAGCATCCTTTCTATATGCTTTTAAAATTATTTTTAGGAGGCTACAGAAAGGATCACAATTAAATGGTTTCTTCAATTTCTGTAAAACTTATAAAAGCCATTTATACCATTTAATCAAACTTCGGTACTTTATTTTATTACAATATGAATCTGAAAAAAAAATCCTATTTTCTCCAGAATAATATCTATTTTGTGCATTCTTTTATCTTAGCTCTTCCAGAAGATTTATTTTAATAAAAAAAGCAAAATTGCAAGAGCTACCTCACATGCAAATGTTGAAAAGAGGTGAAGGGATTACTTCAGAAATCTGATCACCAGGTAAGTCATAGCAGAAAAAGAATGTTACAATTAATTTCTGTGACAAGGCCACAGCGTTAGTAAGTGTTGAATAAATGAGCTGAAAACACAACAGACAGGTTAACTTCAAAACTTCATCCAGTTTTGACCAGTACTTACTTACTTCACCAAGTTTTGATTAAGGAATCACTTCTCGAGATTCTGGCTAAAATTTGGCTTAGTGTAGTGCACATCACTGTTATGTGGGCCTCTGAAGTTAGTACTAGACTAAAAGCACCAATGAGAAGAAAAAAAAAAAAAAAAAGACTACAAAATTTCCTGTGCAATGAAATTAAAGTTAGCAAGCTGGGAGAGTGCCTCTCCCTAGTGCCAAGGCTATAAAAAGGCTGTATATGTAACTGCAGAGCCATCATTAAAAAACTAAATCTCAGCTACCTACCTTCGTATAGGAATTAATCCATCAATTGAGCTGGGCCATATGAACCCTGGTTTTCTCCCACAGATGCATTGCTTTCTCTCTTTCCTATGGCAAGGACAGACAGACATACAATTCCTAACAGTTTTCAT